ATCTTCCTGTGCTCCCCCACACACACATGTGCCCCCACACATTTATCTTCATGTGCCCTCACCACACTTCTTCCTGTGCCCCCCCACACTTATCTTCATGTGCCCCACACACTTATCTTCCTGTGCCCCCACACACTTATCTTCATGTGCCCCCCCACACTTATCTTCCTGTGCCCCCCACACACTTATCTTCATGTGCCCCCACACCCCTCTGTGCCCCCACACTTATCTTCCTGTGCCCCCCACACTTATCTTCCTGTGCCCCCCCACACTTATCTTCATGTGCCCCCACACGCACTTACCTTTATGTGCTTACACACACACACCACACGTCCTCTTGTTGCCACATACAGGTACTTAGAGGAATCATCTCAAACCCCGGAGTGCATTTCTGCGTAAGAAACCACTCCTCTATCATACTATCCTTCCCGTGATGTGAGAATGAGCGAAAACGAACAAATAATGATTTTTTTTGCTGCGTTAGTCAACCCAGTGCTCTGCTTTCCTGACAAACGAATATGATTTTCCCAAGTGGGGGAACTTAGTCATTGCGGTTCGATGGTGCCAATGACCCACTTTTGGTTCCCTATATTACCATGCATAACTTAAACTAAAACACACACACATAGAAAAAACGGGTCCATGACAAAAACCCCACCGTACAAAATCCCCACCGGACAAAAACCCCACGGGACAAAAACTCCACCTCTACCGGACAAAAACCCCCATCTCTACTGGAACTTAACCTAACCTAACGTTAAATGAAATTTGTATGAAAAATAGAAACGAGCTATCTAGCTTCCAACTGTATTCAAAGACTGTTTAAGGAAAACTGAATTAGTGCACAAGTGAACAAGGTTTTTATACAGTTCACCTCATGGTACCACACGTCATTGAACAGACCTGAGAGACCAGAGATTGTGAGGTCACGGGTCCCCTGAGGTCTCAAAAAGTGAGGACAGTAATGGTAAGATGTGATATCAAAGTGGATTTGTAAGAAAATTATTGAAAACTTTAAACAAATTCTGTTTTATTTTTTACTATGCGGGGTTTTTGTCGGGGGATTTTGTCCTGGGGTTTTTTGTCCCGAAAAAAAAAACATTAAAAATAACCTCTGCCTTAAGTAGGATATTCCCTTATCGAGTTGACGTGGATTTTGAAAGTAATCTTTATGCATTTTTAATGTTATTTTGTGTTAGTGCATCATCAGTTACGATCACTTTAGAATGTGGCTTCAGGCCCTAACCTCCTACTTACCGCAGTGGTGTGGGCGTGAGATCCAACACCACCTGGTCAATACAAGTATCTGTCCCAGGCTGCATATTTTCTTCTTTATAATTAACCGTATCTTAAGTTGAATAATATTACTTAACTTTTAATAATGTATTGACAAAAATATATAAATAGACATATTTGCTGAGCTTCAGTGTTTTAAGTGTTGTGTGAAAAAAAAACTAAATAAGAGTAAAGTGAAAAACCTCCCGGCGATCTGGGAAATTCGGAAATCTTCATCTCTCTCCCTCTCTTTTTCTCTCTCTCCCTCTCGTGCCCTCTGGAGCGGCTGTCCTAACCTGCGGCTCTGCCGTAGACCAGTTCCTGGTGCATTAACCACAGCAAGTCTGAGAAGGTGTCTGGCCCTGTCTGCCTCTCGCTCCAGGTGTCTGTCAGCACTATACAGTAACTCGATAACGGATGCAGACGTGTGGGAACTTACAATGAGGACGTCGCTTGTTTACTGTACTAGGGCTGTAATATGTTGTTCATGTAGAACCCAGGAATGAATAAGTAAAATATTAAAATAGAATTTGAGGGAACGTTATAGAGTATACAGTATATGTGGTCAGCACCTCGTATCCACGATTATTATACTGCAACATGTTTCTTAAGTATCGTTAGATTACAGGTATTTACTATCACGTTGTCCGTAATGAGACAAGAATTCATTGAGTAATGCAAATATATTGTCTTGTAAACGCCTTAGTTAAGGACGTTCAGGTGACGGGCAAGTCGAAGGGAATGATTGAAACCCGTCTTTTGACGCATTCAATATTTATTGATGTGGTCAAAACCTGCAGAGGAGAAGGCGTTCATAATATTACAAGGTGATCCATCTGATACATAATTAGTTAGTCTCACACAATTTTATGTTAATTACAATTTATCAAACATACTGACATAACACAAAGTTCATAACTCTATTAATCTCAGCTTCGCTTTACTCTGCATTGTCTTATTACTCCAGGTTAGGCAGAAACGAGTAGGCGTAATTAGTCAACAATATTTCAGTACTTAGGCTGTACTTACAAGTGCGGGTCAATGCAGATCAGTATGGTATTCCAAGAGAAAACAGTATTGCGTAAATCGTCCCAGTACAAATTCTCGGACAGAAGGCTGGTCTTCACAGCATCACTAGAGAGGGCGATCTGTCTCATGGAGGGGCGGGCAGCCACCGCCACCAGTCTAAGACAGTCCACTCAGCAGAACCAGGACTTGTTTGTAAACACTTCTTCCCTCCCTGACCAGATATCCCTCCTTCTAGTGACAGGCCTGGCACTTGACATTATTAGGGACCTGCCACACTTTTCCATAAACAGATGAAATGTACCGGGAACTTTCCCCCCACACACTCATCATTCTGTCACTTTATGTAACTTGCTGACAAAACCTATGACCCTTCAGGCTTTTATGCCCTTAATGCATGAGTCATAAAGGCAAGCATGAACTTAGCATGCTTCTCAGATGGGCACTGTAAATGCTTCTGCACTTCACCTTGCACAGGATGTAAAGGGGTGCCCAATAAACTAGCTCCCTCTGGGGCAATCTAAAAAAAAAATCCAAGTCGATCAGTGGTGAAGAGGATATAAGTAAAAAGTAAAAAAGGTAAGGTCAGGTAATTTTCTTTGCTTGGTTAGATCATATTCTATATTAGGTTCTAGTAATTGTTGCCACTTTTAAAATACTGTACTTAATACAGTATAATGATAAGAACATGTGTGGGAAAAATGAATGGAATCGAAAAACAACACCTGGTGGGAGCGGTGTTCATACATTACTAATTAATGTTATGTTTGTCCGTGTAGTAATTGCAATACAGGTTTACCGGTAGATGGCGGCACAATATCGCTGTCTTTTTCCAACAATATTTTGCATTCCTTAAAAAAAAAGGGCAAAATGAGCCAAAGCCAAAAACTATAATAAAAATACAGTAGTCAATTTGAATCTTTTTGCTAAAAATGTTAGGCGATGCATAAGTGTTGTTACTCATAAGGACCCTTAGTGAATCAAAGGTGCTCATAATGACCCATAGTGAATCACAGGTGCTAATAATAACCCCAAGAGACATATATAACAGGTGCTCCACTGATGCTCATAATGTTGTCAGATGAAAATGCAAAATGTGTTTGATTCCTGTCATGCTTTTGTTTATTATTTAAAGATTTGTTCCAGTTTTTAAAGCAGTTTGATTGATTTGTCTTCTTTTATCAGTTGTGCGTCAGGTTTTGGCCCTCAGCATTTTGTAGTCAGTGAAGGATATTAATTTTACAAGTACAGGTCTAGTTTATTTTTTCTGGTCAATGGGTGATTAGACTACTCTGTATCTGTTTTATCTGTCTTGTTCTCTTAAACCATTATTGATTGTGGTAAAATCCTGGCAGGTGGGACCACTTGTAGGTGAAAATTAAGCGATTCAATATTTAGGAGAAATTTTTAGTTCCAAAGTACGATTTGATCAATAAATATGTTGTTCCAACATTCAAGAAAATAGTATTTGTTTTTTTTATAGCTATTTATTCATTGGTCTTTTATGCATCAGCATTACTTAAAAAATGCTTGATATTAACAAAAGCATATGTTGAATGTTTTAGTTTCAAACCCCATTTATTTATTTTAATACAGGTTGACAATCCCTTATCCGAAATCCTTGGGACCAGATGCATTTCGGTTTTTGGAATTTTTCGGTTTTCAGAATGGTTACCGGTAGGTTTTTTTTTTTTTTTTTTACAGGGATCAGCCCACCCGGGCACAGGTTATGACCCACATTGGGGCCTGGGGGCTAAAAAATTAATAATAATAATAATAATAATAATAATAATAATAATAATAATTCATAGGTCTAGGTCGTGTTTCTCACTTTTGATCTTTTTTTCATTCTTGTATTTCTTTATTATTGTTATTGTTATTATTATTATTATTATTTTATTATTACAGTATTATTGTTATTATTATTATTGTTATCATTCTTATTTTATTTTTTGTATTTTTTATTAAAAATTTTATTTACTATGAATAATTATTATTATTACTGTATTATTATTATTATTATTATTATTATTATTATTATTATTATTATTATTATTATTATTATTATTATTATTATTATTATTATTATTATTACTATTACATTTTTACCCCCCAGGCCCCGATGTGGGTCAGTGACCTGTGCCCGGGTAGGCTGTTAAAAAAAAAAAAAAAAAAAAATGCTCCACAAAAAAACTTTAGGTTTTCAGAGCTTTTCGGTTTTTGGAATTTCGGATAAAGGGTTGTCAACCTGTACAGGACAGTATACAGTACAGTACTGTACCTGTACAATATTACTGTATATACCAGTATGCTTTACTGTATATACCATTATGCTGTACTGTATATACCAATATGCTGTACTGTATATGGTTTGTGAATCCTAAAGTTATCATGAAATAAAACATATCTGACTTAAATCTGTTTTGGTTAATTGTTTTACTCTGAAGATTAAATTATTATGTATGCCATGTGTATGAGTCCTTGTCAAGATTCATTCATTATAGTGTCCTTGCATGGTCCAATATATATGTATACCTCATGTCTGCATGTACCATGTACCTTCTGCACTCTCCTCAATCTTCTGTTTCTCTGTTTCTGTCTATATTAAAGTCTCTTGCTTATTCATCAACTATCCCTTGTTCTCCTTATTCTCTTCTCTTCCTATCTGTCTTCTTCCTTTCTCTTTCTCTCTCTGGCAGACTCTGACTCACCAGTCGTCTCTACAGTGTCTGAGGCTGTCTACCACGAGTACGACGATCTGCGACAGCGCTACCAGGTGGAAACAGAGTCCATGGCCCAGGCTTTTAACCGTGCCACAGAGGTTAGTATTGTTGTTAGCTGTAGCAAGGGCCATTATCTACGTGGCTGAGCATTAGCAGGTGAAGTGCAGCATCCATGGCCCTGACTTGTGACCACACTAGCGAGGTAGGCCCTGTGTATGTGCCAAGTGTTCAGACCATCTGACCCAGTGTGTTATGAAGTACAGTATTACCACTGTAACTCTTGTAGCTATTGCTAGAACTGTTTTGCTAATTATACTAAAGAGAAAACTGGTTAAAGATACATGTTTGTGTACACCTGAAATTTATCCAGATTTGTTACAAGTATAGTTTTGACTAAAAAAAATACTGATGGAGCTTTACTTATACAGTAAGTCCTCACTTAACGTCAGGGTTACGTTCTTAAAAATGCGACGTTATACGAAACAACATTAAGCGGATCAATTTTCCCCATAAGAAATAGATAAAATACGCGAGTTACGTTCCTGGGCCTCCCTTTGCCCTATAAAATACTGTACATTACATATACAGAAAATCATTGCCATTTCTATAGAAAATAATGCATACATATATAACTATTAAGTTTGTATTGGTACTCACCGATGGGCGGAGGTGGTAGAGCGAATGTGTGGTGGGTAGTGAAGCAGAGGAGGCGGATGGCTGGAGGGGAGGAGTATGGCGAGAGCGGAAGAGGAGGGAGGGAGCGGAGGAGGGCGGGAGAGGAGGAGGGTGGTGAGTCAATGAGACTCTGCGCCAAACCGAGAGAGCATAGTGCGGCCAGACGAGAGCAAGTGATGCACCGTAAAATGTAGTTTGTGATGAAGCAAAACGACATACAGTAGTATCGGATCACCTGGACGTTCAACGAATTTATGGTCTCTAAAGTTTAGCGACGTAGTACCGAAACAATGTTAAGCGCGGACTTACTGTACAGTGCTTGATTATCATAATACGCCATTAGAAGATGCAATAGTGTTATTTTCTAAATGTTTTCTTTTTCACATTACTGTATTTCTTTCTTAAGGAGTAAGATAACATACTAAGGAGAGCTGAGTGATAATGTACCCAGATTATGAGAAGTGATTCATTAAACTCACTTTTTCATGTCGTAATGTAACTTTTTATTTCAGTGAAAGGTAATAGATATTTAATATAATACTGTAAAGTATAAGACCCTAAAAAACACAGTACAGCACAGTGTGCATTATTGGAATGAATGAGGCAAATAAGTTTATTGTACATTTAATCCCTTGAACTGAAGGCGAGAACTTCACTGAAAGTTTAGCAACTGAATTGTGATGTGCATACTGTACTGTACTGTACTGTACCGTACTGTACTGTACCGTACCATACTGTACTGTACTGTACTTTACTTTACTCTACAATACTGTACCGTACCGTACTGTAATGTACCATACCGTACCGTACTGTACTGTACTGTACTGTACTGTACTGTACTGTACTGTACTGTACTGTAGACCTTTGCCAATCACGAGGGATAGGTTCCAAGAAATGGTGCAAATTGGCAAACCGTAGTGCACTAATATACAGATATACCTATGCTTTTATGAGAAACTCAAGTCATAATACTGTACTTACATTCGTATGTGGAAGTCTCGAGCTTGATGAAGTGGTGCGCTGTACATAGGGAGACATCTTAGCAGATTGTTCTAAAAGCTCACAACTCTCACTCCGAAAAAGTTACCCTTCACAGTTTTCTGGGCCTGTGACTTCTTCAACCTTGAGCTGTGACCCCTTTTGGGATGAGCATCTGCCAGCTCCAGGCAAGGACACTCGACTGAGTTGTGCCCCTTGAGATGCCTATATACCTCAATAAGGTCACCCCTTGCCCGTCTGTAGTATAAGCTAGGCATGTTCTGGCACTCCAACAAGCTCTCGGGGTAGCTGAGGTGCCGAAGTGCAGGCACCAGTCTGGTGGCCCTCCTTTGAACATTTTCAATCAACTGACAGCCCCTAGTACTGTATATCTCGGGGACCAGACGGGGTAACAGTACTCCAGATGGGGAAGCACTTCACTCTTGAAGATCGTTACGAAGGATGGACCGTCTAGATATCTGAACGACCTTATAAGACCTAATAATTTATTTGCTTGATTTACCTCCTTCTTGTAATGGCCCGGGAACTTCAGTTCATTGTCAATGTACTCACCTAGGTCCTTTACACATTCCGTCTCATTTAATGCAGTCTCTTCATCCCGTTCGGACATATGATACACCTCTTTACCGTTGGTACGCCCCAGGTGCTTCCTCTTACACTTCGTGAAATTGAATCTCAGCAGCCATTTCTTTGACCATTCTTGGAGCTCACAGAGATCATTCGTTAGCTCTTCACAGTCCACTTGGTTCATGATTTCCCGAAATAACTTGTCACGAATAGCCTGCGCCACACTACGGATTTGTTCACCAAACAACCGACCAACTGCCGCAGCACTCATCCCCTCTTTTAACTTGTCTAATAATTTAATTTTCTTTGCCAGGGTCATCACTGACCTTTACCTTTCATTTTTCACTCTACTAGCATCACAAGCACTGACACTAGGCAGTCTCTTAGGGGCCATTTTCACAAAGAAACATGAAAGTTTTGAGAGTATGACATGGGATGCTTGGTCATGGGTAATGGGTGAGGGCAAACAGAGTGAGATAAGACGCCGGGGGCACGTCGGGTGACTCGTTGCACTGCGGGAGAAGGCTCGCATGCTAGCTGCCCGAGCCACCAGCTGCTTACCGCGAATCGTTGAAATCTCAAATCGTAAACCCACAAATGGGTAGGGTCTACTGTACTATGCTGCACTGTATTATGGTAGAGTCTGCCTTTACTGCACTTAATAATCATAGTTTGATGACACCACTGATTGTAAAGCTTCTGCCTATATTGTTGCAGATTTTGACCATTTTCTCTACTTTCTTGGTCCTCCATTTTTATCTTAACTTTTTCAATGTTGGTCCCAGTACAAAATACAAAACTTAAAAGCCATTTTCAGTTTTCGAGAAATAATGTATAATGTAGTTCTATCACTAAGATTTAACATATGTTTTAGGTTGTAAGTTATCTCTTAATATATGTATGCCTTATAAAAAAATGTTTTAACAAGTCTCATTTTGACATATTTTTTTCCTTTTTTGAATATAATTATTCACTTTAACAAATAGCAATCACATTTTTTTTTTTTTATAAGAATGCAAACTTTTAACTGTCTAGCATCAAAATTACCACCCAGGATGTGCAGAGTTGCATTAAACTCTACTGTACAGTTCATCAAATAACTATCTGTGCTTGAGGGGGGGGGGGGTCAATGAATTTCACAATGAGCACTGCGACTCCTGTTTCTCGTTAGGGTTGCCAGAATCCTTTGTCCATTTTGTCATATTGTCTAACACAATTATGTCAGGATGTTTTTTTGATTGACTGTACTGGACGTGTACCTGTATAGCAATGATCATATTTAGTACTGTATAAGGTACAGTATTTAGTTTATACTGCAGTATTTTTTATGGGACATAAAGTGGTGAACTTTGGGTAAAAAATACCCCAGTTGACCAACATTTATCCTTCTATTTGATATACAATACTGTACATTTTTTCACTTAACAAATTGGTTTCTCGGAACATAACCCCCTTGAATATAGGGGATACATGTATTACAGTACTGTATTTACATAATATGCTATTGAAGGAACTCAATTTTTGCATTATTTCTGTTGTCATATTGAATATAAACAGAAAACAGCTTTGTAAAAACAACTTCTGTTCTTTCCAGTGGTACCATGAAAACAAAATTTTGCGTCGTGAGGCCAATACGCTCAAGAGACAGAGTGCTGTTTTGATGCAGCGGGTGGCAGATACCTCGCCAGATTTTGATATCTCAGTCTTAGCAAACATGGGTGAGACGGTGGACAAGCAGGGACTCCAGGAGATACAGCAACAACATGATCAAGAAGTATCCACACTGATGAAAAAAATTAAAGGTACAATATTTACTTCTTTACTGATCAGGTCTTACAGCATGTCCAAGGACTATTGTAGAAAGTTATCTGAACTAGTACCCAGGGACAGGGAAACTAAGAAGATGACAAAACTGCTTAAGTTGTCCTGTACATAAATCCTCTGGACTACAGTAGTAGATTGATTCCACTCCTCTATAAAATGCAATAAATATCATATTCAATATATAGCAGCTATGTGTGGCTGGAGCTCTTACCATAAGCCCCTTTTCCACAGGCTCACTGGTCCACCACATTCTAAAATTATAGGAGCACATCAGTTTGCAGTCAGCAGCACTCTAAAAAGCAACCTCACTCCTTGAATCTCTCACCTCATTCTTCTGTCAATCTGCCACTGATCAGTGAGTGACAGGCTGCATCTTGAATCAGTGGCTTAACTTTGTTACTCCCACTGCTGGCAATCTTAGGAGGCCCACAAGCACAGATAAACAAGTACATTACTTCACAATCTTAAACATTTGTCTTGCCTGTATAATTTGTATGGTTGATAATGGTGGTAATTGTGGCAGTAACTACAACAGTAACAATATTAATAATGAAGAGGTAGCATTACTATTTTAACAAAATTAACATGAGAAAAGTAATTTTGTTATGCTGTACTGTACAATAGTTTGTTTTTGTTATAAGTAACATGTTTTAATAATTATTAGCTCTTTATTAACTTATATATGTACAGTACAATATGTAAAACGTGTAACACCTCAGTCTCACAAAGAAGAGGCCCCTATGGTAGAAAATCTGTCTCTCAGCTTGGTGGAGTGTCACATTGGTCAAGTTTGAATTCCTTTCCATTTAACCATGACTGTCATGGGAATCCACTTAGTGTGCTCTAGGATTGTACTCTGGCCAGTAGAACATCACACTGACATTCCACTACATTACTGAGGCAGTTATAAATATATATGTATTGTACTGTCCTGTACTGTATGTGTGGAGCTTCAATTTTGGTTGCACTGTACAATATTGACATTGTTAGGAACAGAGTTTATCCTTATTACAACTGCTGTCTAGGATTATCTTTACAATACAGTAATTAAGATTCAAGAACAAATAGAAAGTTTGATGTAATCATTAAAGATCTAAATTTTATTATCATTTAAAATTACAATTTATCACAGTACAAGTGAGGTAAACCACACATTTTACATAAAACATTTGCTTCCCAGATTAGGTTAGGTTAGTACTGTACAGTATCGTATAATGTACTGTACTGTACTGTACTGTACTGGTAATAAGACAAAACATCATCAGCAACGTATTAAGAAACTGACATAAAACTAATTCTTGTTAAGAATTCTCTGAAAAGCTCATAAATGTTTCAGAACCCCCCCCCCCAAAAGTATATATCTTTGTAATCCAGTCATTTAACCACCACTTTTGTATTGGACCCCTTCTGTTCTGAATAAAATTATTGGGTGTTAGCCACATAAAATATTAAAAGTAGCATCCCCACAGTGAAGGCATTAAGTAATTTACGAGTTTATTATTAAGCATTTTCTGATTTTAATTGAAATGTTGTATTGGACAAGCTATGGAATCATGCAGTGAAAGTGAATAAGCTTCTTTATAACACTGTGACCAACCTGAGGGATCCATGTCATTGCCACCCAGGTGCTAGGTACTAATCAGGCTATTTCCAGTTGACAGTGCTAAAACCTCATTATGCTGAAGTAAGTGCCCTGTATGATTTGCTGTACGTATTGTAGGATGGTTCAAGCAGTACAGGAACCTAAAAGCAGAGGGGAGGGGATATAAAGGGAGACTGATGAAACAACTGTAGAGAGTGACAGGAAGAGGCAACAAGTAGAATTACTCGTAAATCTTTAGTCATCTTCAACAGACTACAGTATAAAAAAGAATGTTATTACAGTATCTACACTGATTCACTGTGCATTGTATCAGATCACTGTGCATTTTCAGTCGAGTTGTTAAGTTCATTCTTCAGGCATCAACAAATTAATCCCTTCTATCACAGGATTAGAAATGGATGTGGCAAATCTCACAGCAGAGATGAGCAAATCAAAACAAGATGAGTTTGATGCCCAGGAAGAGTTATTAGAAGCTCGGAGACAGCTGGATGAGGCCACTCAACAAATAGATCATCTTCAGGTGAGCAAACTGTAGTTTTACTCGGCTTTACTTTATCCTCTTCATCCCGGACTGTTCTTCTTATGCACTGTTGGCAAGTACTGGACATGTATGGGTTCCTGACATATACCTGAACATGAGCCAGTGTTGGTCATGTCAAGTCTTGAATGAGCTCACACTCTAAAAAATCATTACTTTAGATGTAGCAATACATAAAGGAGTAGAGAGAACAGTAGAGAATAAAGGGATGCTTTATTCTTGCATGTAATATTGTGAATAATGCAAGTTTGTTAGCAAATATGTAGATGGTTCCATAGGAGCCACATACAGTATACAAGTTATAGAAAGATTAATGGTATATTAGTGTAAAGCTGGGTGGGCTACCCATCTTGTTGAACATTTATATATATATATATATATATATATATACTGCACTTGTATCTTCCTCAAATGATTAGCTGATAAATGAGGTGTGTGGTAAGTGCTTGGATTGATAATGAAGTCTACTGTTAATATCTAGTGCTGTCCCCAGTTTAATATCCATTATTGATAAATTAGTTACATTCAAATTAGTATAAAATGCATGTGCTGTAGTATCAATCAGTATATAATGAGACGATCAGTGACGAAGAGGATAAAAGTAAAACAGTAAATAGTTGTGATGGTTAGGTAAAGAAGTTTCTTTGCCACCATTGGTGTATCTTTTATCTTATGTTATTGTAGCCATTTAATTTTTTTGTCATCCACTCTGTAATTTTGTTGCCCATGTTTTTTGGCCAAGTTGTGCAGTCTAATTTAGTACTGTATTAATAGCGTTTGATTTAATATATTTGTAACCAGTCTTTGATTGGTGACTTCTCTTTGGAAGTCGGACTCACATTAAAAGACTGAAACTTCTACGAAAGTACTGTAATGGTTTTGGTGCCCACTGGCATCTTCCTCAGTTGTGAATACAAGGGTGAGGTCTCATTAAGTGGGCTGACCTTCTAACAGCATGGATTGTAAAGGGGAGTTGTGTAGGATTACCATTTAAGAAAATGTCCAGTATCATCACTGGAGTGGTACCTTTTGTTTCCTTTTGATCTTTATAAAGCTATAAAATTATTTCCAATTTATATTTTCAGAGTAGGATAGCAGAACTGGAAGCAGTTGAGCGGCGAATGGGACGTGTGTCAGTTTTAGTTCTAGATGAAGTTGAAGCTCTCCAAGCTCAGCTACGCTCAGAAGCTGCTAGAGCCAACACAGCGGCTTCAGAGGCAGCCAAGGTAAAACTTTTACATTAGTAAATTGTAGTTATGCTATGCATAAAGTGTTGTTTCATTTAAACAAACTTGTCAGCAATAAAAAAAATCCTCTTAAATATCCCAAAATATCTTTTGTTCATACAATATTAAATTACTGTGTTATTATATTTTAGCTAAATTTTCTTTAATTCATTGTTCATTGTTAGTACAGGAGGAAACTAGAGTACCCAGGGATATTTGGTAGAGTCACACTGGATAACACCCTTCTTACATTCTGAAAGTTCAAATACTGTATGTGTTATGTTGAATTTATTCACACAGGCCCGTGGCGAAAAAGCAGCTATGGCTCGTCAGAGTGCTGTTGCCTTAGCAGATGTGATGGGAGATGAAAGACTACGAATGGCTTTGGAGGAAGTGCACACCATTACTCAGAAACTTCACACACAAGAGGAAGAACATAAACAAATCATGTCCAAGTTAAAGGTATTACTAGTTCTCCTGTACTTTGGTTTAATGAGTGGTGGAGGAAAGGATGGTAGAGTTAATTTTTTATTAACTCATTATCTAAGCTTCACTCTTTTGTGTCTGTCTTTAGCAACTTTGACAGTATGATTGGGTGCTAGGTAGTAAAGTAACAATAGCATATAACAGTTATGGCCACATCATACTGGCTAACAAGATAAGACTGCAGAGTTTATGCTACAGGCTGTCTAATATAAAGCTTAGAGACATACCCTGTATAGTACTTAGATATTGGTTTTACTCAGTCAAGCCCAAAAATAAACAGACTGCTTGTTAGTTATAATTCCATTGCTCAGTTAGACAAAAGTGGACCACATTGTTGATAGGTCTTTTAAATGTTTATTTTTTTAATACTGTAGTGTATAAAGTTTTTAGTTTTTATCTAACCCATTTCTCTTGCTTAATAAAATTGACATAACTTGCATAGTTGTATGATAGTACTGAAATTTAATTACAGTGATGCTGAGGTCTAAGACTAAATAATATTTTCTTGCTTAAGCTATCAGCATTGTGATTTGACAGGAGATAGTAATACAAATTTTAGATTAGTAAGATGAACTGATTGATTAAATAGAGAGAGAAATGAAACACAAAATTGAAAGGTGGATTGTGGATTGATTGATTGTGAAAACATGAGAGGTAGTGCAGAGAAGAATTACTAAATTGTTTTACAGTATTAGGTAAGAGTGAGTTTTGTCCACTTTAACCTGCAAAGTTAACCATTTTCCATTTAGACATCATTCACTTCATCCATGTAATTCAGTACTGCCTTTTTCAGTAAATAATTTCCATAGTAATGCAGCTCTCGTGTGTACATTCAACTACCTGTACTTGTAAGTTTTGTCTCTTTCCATATAGACTGAACTACTTTCCTATGAATCTGGTGATAAAGCTGCTGAGGTTGAACTGCTAAGAGAACGTGTTTTATTGCTGGAGGAGGAAGTTAAAGTGCAAGAAGATAAGACTAAAGAGACAAACTCAGAATTGGAAAGACTTAGAAAAGAAGGTTAGTAAAATATATAGAAATAGTATTGGGTATTTTGTTCTTTTATGTTCAAGTGTAGTGTAAATGCCACACATTATGTAAATGGTGTTGGAAGGTATTTTGGCAGGTAATGTTAATTGTCTATAAAAGCTTTAACCCTTAGATAATGGGATTATAAATAGATGATGAACACCTTTTGTCCCTCATGACAGTGATCATCTCTATACTGAAGATTTTTCTGCACCATAATATTTAAGTTTGATGCCTAATTTCTGTTTGAGTAATTTATTGTGATTTGTGGCAACTTTTCCTTCCCCATATTCCTCCCTCCACCAGTAATTTTTTTCCCATCATTTATCAGCTTACTAATCATTCAGACTGTACACTGTATTGTTTTTAATGTGGATACTGTACAGTGGTTTAATCAGATTTGATATACTCCTAATGAGAGCTAATAAGCCTGATATGATGACACTTGAGGTGTAAATGTGCTGCAGGTAGGGGGAAGGGGTGGAACTGACCTTGCCTCGTTAACCAGTTTTTATTTATTCATTATTATATTATTATAATATGACACAGTATAAATAATAGAAAAAATGTGATGTATAATTTGTAATCTCATTTCAAAATAAGGGAAAATGCAAAAGGAAACACACATGACATTTATTGCACATTACCAATTAGTGGCAAAGAGGATAGAAATATAAGTAAAAGTAACCCGTCTGATAATAGGAGCACAGTGGTCGAGTGGATACAGTCTTCGCCTCCTGTTCCAGGGGTCGGTGGTTTGATTCCTGGGTGCCCCCAGTTCACCCAGCTGTATATGGGTACCTAAATTTACAACATGGGGAGGGGAATGCGGTCAAGAACAGTAGTGATCATTATGCCTCTGTGTGTATCCATGCTGTCCCTATGGAACCAGTGAGCCTGACCAGCATAATATGTAAAGTACTTGAGAGTATTATCAGAGATGCCGTGATGGAACATCTACTACGAAACAACCTTGTAAAGGATTGCCGACACGGTTTTAAATCGGGGCGCTCTTGTTTAACACAATTGCTCAAGGTATTAGATATTTGGACCCATATTCTGGAACGGGGTGGTAATATCGACAATATATACCTAGATTTTGCCAAGGCTTTTGACAGTGTACCCCACGAAAGGCTGAAAATCAAACTGGAATGGTACGGAATTCGGGGAAATGTCCTAGCATGGATAGAAGACTTTCTACATGACCGCAAGCAGTGTGTGGTGATTAATGGCACGAAATCATCATCTGTACCTGTCATAAACGGGGTACCACAGGGCAGTGTATTGGGCCCGCTGTTGTTTGTTTGTTTCATAAATGACATGCCTGACGTTGTACACTCCTCCATACAAATGTTTGCCGATGACGCCAAGTTATTTCGGGAAATCAAGAACCATGCGGATTGTGAAGAGCTGCCGAAGGATCTCTGTGAGCTCCAAGAATGGTCGATGAAATGGCTTCTGAGATTCAATGTCATGAAGTGTAAGAGGATGCACCTGGGGAGTACCAACGGTAAGGAGGCGTATCATATGTCCCAACGGGATGAAGAAACTGCACTATTTGAGACTGAATGTGAGAAGGACCTTGGTGTGTGTGTTGACAATGAGCTGAAGTTCTCGGGCCATTACGAGAAGAAGGTAAATGAGGCAAATGAATTATTGGGTCTTATATGAAGGTCGTTCAGATATCTAGACGGTCCATCCCTCGTAACGATCTTTAAGAGTGAAGTGCTTTCCCATCTGGAGTACTGTCACCCTGTCTGGTCCCCGAGATATGCTAGGGACTGTCAGCTGGTTGAAAATATTCAAAGGAGGGCCACCAGACTGGTGCCTGCACTTCAGCACCTCAACTACCCTGAGAGATTGGAGCGCCTGAACTTGCCTAGCTTATACTACAGACGAGCAAGGGTTGACCTAATTGAGGTGTATAAGCATCTCAAAGATCTCAAGGGGCACTACTCAGTCGAGTGTCCTTACCTGGAGCTGGTGGACGCTCGCCCCACAAGGGGTCACAGCTCAAGATTGAAGAAGCCGCAGGTCCAGAAAACTGTGATGGCAAACTTTTTTAGAGTGAGAGTTGTGAACTCTTGGAACAATCTGCCAGAAAGTGTTATGACAGCACTGAGTGTGAGCTCTTTCAAGACTAGACTTGACCAATACTGGAGCAGGTTCAGATACATTCAGGAACCAGTGCTTGCCCAGTACTTGCCAACAGTGCATAACAGAGATGTAACCGATCGCCCAAGCTGCTAACAAGCAGATCTGTAATGAAGAGGATAAAAGTAAAGTAAAAGTAACCGTAAAATCTCACATACTTTTCAATTATACTCCCCAAAATGGCTTTTAAATATTTATTTATTTATTTATGGGGGTGTCACATGATTTCCCAGTCTTTTTTATGCAGGAAGTATCATTTTAATAAATATTTTATATCTTAGCCATACTGCAACACTGCTCATTTTTAGTAATATGAACACTAACAGAATTTATATCATCTCTGTGATATATTAAGTATACTTTTTAGCTGTGAATAGTAAGAATCAGCCTTGAAAAATTAAAAAAAAAAGAAAGGGAAAAGATATTAAATAAAAGATCATTCATCAGCATATACTGTATATTTTAATTGTAAACATAACTGAATATTTAATTGAATATTAGTAACAACTCTTTCACTTGTCTTTACAGCTGAGAAACAGCAAAGTGAAATTAGATTACTCCAGCAGCAACATTCCACCAGCAAAAGAATCAACAATAGTTATCCTGACAAATCATCTGTGGTGTCAGAACCTCTGTCACTCAGCAGGTCCAGCACTACACTAGAGTCTCAGTCAAGGATTCCACCTCCTCCAGCACCTCCTCCTCCACCCCCTCATTTTGTTCCTCTACCCCCTCCTCCTCCACCACCACCCCCTCCTCCTCCTCCTCCTCCTCATGCAGGTCCTCCTCCTCCTCCACCACCACCTCCTCCACCTCCACCTGCCAACCCTGTGACTACATTAGCCACCTTGATTGGTGCTTCCAAACAAAACAGGAAAGATAAGGAGACAAATGGTTCAGGTAAGTTGATATAAACCTTGTGTATACCTTCAGTGGAACAGTAGATAACTAACTGATGAAATACTGTGTTCTCTTATATTACTTTCATTTTTATTTCACCAGAATTTTTTGACTACCATGTTAGATTGACATAGAGTTATGTCATAAACTTTCCCAGTAATCATGACATCATTAATGTCCTTGAGACTTGATTACTTAGAGAGTTCTTATAAGGTAAACTACTGCATTTACCTGTGGACAAGGTCTCATGAGATACTCATGTCTCCTTTATTGCCTAGTTAGTCTACTGTAGATATCTATGAAATATTTGAATATTTCAACAAGGCAATTGGTATATGGCTTTACAGGTACTATTGATACTAACTCAAACTAGACAAATCAAACACTGCTTCCATTATGATAAGATTAATCCACATTCCAGTCTCAGTATCCTTTCACTGCACAATACGGGGCCAGTTACCACATCTTTGGTGATTTGTTTTTATTTTTCTGCATTTTTTACACAAATGTCTTAATTTAACAACATGGCAATTTTCATCTGCTCTTAAGTTATATGTCAATTGAAAAAGGGTTTATTCTGGTTATATAGTATATGACTTTGTCATGTGCCTGTGAATGTGTAAACTATGCACTGTACAATGCTGCACAGTGCACTTTTACTTTTATCCTCTTTGCCACTGATCGACTTGTTAGCCACTTGGGCAGTCAGTCATGTCTCTGTTACGCACTGTTGGTAAGTACTGGGCATGAACTGGCTCTTGAATATATCGTAACCTGCTCCAGTGTTGGTCAAGTCTGGCCTTGAATGAGCTCACACTCGGTGTTTTGGTGAAAATTTATTGATGAAACTGTGCATCATCTTTTATCATCATTGGAAAAACTGCAGGACACTAAATGAAGTCCTTATCAATGATTAAAGTCATGACAGATTTGTACCACCATGTGCCTTGTTAATTATTTGAATTTCTAGTTCATACCCACAAAAACTGCTCAAATGTTTACAAAACTACCACATCTGTTTGAAATTTGGGTACTACCCATAATTAATTTTTCAACTAGTTTTAAATCATTAACTGTGGAAGTGCATTATTTTTACCAATCTTTTCCTTCTAATTCTTTCAATATGACCACTGAATAATATTAAAGAACATTCTGTTTAACACTCTTCCCAACACTGAAGTAATAGTATACAGTATTTAAAATAGGTCACTGTGATATACAGTACATAAGAACATAAGAATGGAGGAAACTGCAGCGGGCCTATTGGCCCATACTGGGTAGTCCCGTTAAAACCCAACCCCTATTGCTCATATGAGCATCCAACCTATGTTTGAAGCAATTCAGCGTATTCGAGTTAATGATGATATTTGGTAACTTGTTCCATTCATCCACTACTCTGTTTCCAAACCAGTGTTTACCTATTTCACGCCTAAATCTAAATTTGTCTAATTTAAAACCATTGTTACGAGTTCGCTCCTGGTTGGATAGTTTGAGTACCTTTGTAATGTCCCTTTGTTTGCCTTCCCGCCTTACACCTCTATCAGGTAAGCTATTTTCGCTCTCGTCTCTCAAGGGTGGAATTAAGATGCTTTAACCTGTCTCTCTCAAGGTTCCTATTGCGGGATTAGTCTTGTCATTCTCCTCTGAATTCTTTTAAGGATTCTATATGTATCCATTCTATGTCGGTGACAGGCTGAACCTACGTAATCCAGGTGTGGTCTCCCAAAATAGTCACAGTTTTGGATGACCTCCGCTAATTCTTGTAACTTCTCACTCCTTTGTATGAACCCAAGTACTTTATTAACTTCATTATTCACAGAGCAAAACACATTGTTTACTTGACAGGTTCCTATATCATTATCTCGTCTCTCTGCAGTCCAGATTTCTCTAATAGTTGTTCTCCTGGTATCGGTTTTCCCTGTTTTACATCTCCTATCTTCCAAGTGCTTTACATTTGTCGTGTTGGTTCATCTGCATTTCCAAACCGTGAAAAATTTGTTTAGATCTTCCTGTAGTTTTGCCGAGTCCTCGTCAGATTTGATAACACGTCCTATTTTAGTGTCATCAGTAAATTTACTTATGTTGCTGTCTATGCCGATATCTATATCGTTTATGTATATAATAAATAATAATGGTCCAAGTACTGAGCCTTGGGGAACTCCACTTGTGACGTTGCTCCAATGGGACTTAGTGCCGTATATGCTCACTCACTGTTTCCTGTCCTGTAACCACGCCCTAATCCATTTAAGGATGTCACCTTTGATGCCATGAGCTTCTACCTTTCTAATTAGTCTTTCGTGGGGGACTCTGTCGAAGGCTTTGTTAAAGTCGAGATATACCACATCATAATTGTGCCCCTCGTCCACCGATTCGAAAACTGATGAAAAGAATGTTAATAGATTAGTTAGACATGAACGCCCGCTTGTGAAGCCATGTTGGGAATCATTGATCAACTTCTGCTTCTCCAGGTGGTTTCGAATAGAGTTTGAAATAATTGATTCTAGTAATTTACCTACTATTGATGTTAGACTGATTGGGCGGTAGTTAGAGGATAGTGATCTATCCCCCTTCTTGAAAATCGGTATTACATTCGCTATCCTCCAGGATTCTGGTACTACACCTGTTTTTAAGGACATGTTAAACAACTTTGCTAAGGCATACTAAGCTCTTCCTTACATTCCTTTAATACTCTGGCAAATATCTCATCGGGACCTGGTGACTTATTAGGCTTTAGTGTGTCTATTTGCTTACTAGCATCGTTACTAGTCACTACTATCTCGCTTAATTTATTTCTTCACTATCTCTGTATAGAGTCGGTGCCTCGGGTATCATATTTAAATTTTCGGTGGTGAAAACTGTTGAACAATATTTATTCAAATTATTGCTCATTTCTCAAATGCGTTATCAGTGAGCTACTTGATCTGGCCATTGATAATTAAGATGCTACCAAATGTTTTTAGTTGACGATACACATTTGGTAGATCCTTTGGGGTTTGTCTTACAACCTCCTTGCTATCCTTACCTCATTGTTCCTCTTTTGGCACCCATATCTAGGTTTTTAACCTACTGTATTCTCCTATAATAGTCCTTTGGTGAATTTCTCCCACGATTTATCCTTCTACTGTAGCCTTCCTTTGTGTGATGTTCTTTAAATAATTATTTATCCATTGGTCATTTGTTGTCTGATCTGAGTTTTTGTATATATTCTGCCTTTGTGCATTAAATGCTCTTTCTTTAGGTATGCGATGGGCTTCAGCAATCTCCAGATCTCTCGTTATCAGGTCGTGTCATCCTGTCGGGTTCACGTGGCCGTACCTCCCCTCTCTCAGCTGCCTCTTTAAACCGTCAAAGTTTGCTCTTCTGAAATCTTTTACTTTTTTTCTTTGGAATTTGGTTGAAATTTTTTTTTAACAGGATCTTTTTTTTTTTTTTTTTTTTTAGTTTAACAAATTTATTGATAAAGCTTGGAGTACAGTTTGCCTATTCTGAGTAATTCAGTCAGGTCTTGACACTGAGGGTGGTATCACTTCTCACTGCCACGCAGGACAGGGGTTCATACACAAAGAAATTCATCATATTCATTAACAGTATATATAGGTCAGATTCATGTGGGTTGATGTCGCTGTTCACTGCCATGCAGGACCGAGGTTCGTACAGAAAGAAATACATCATATTCATTAGCAGTATACTGTATATAGGTCAGAGTCATGTGTGTGATGTCACTGTTCACTGCCATGCAGGACAGTGGTTCATATACATTGGACATTAAGTTTGCTTTCGGGGAATTTTGCAATCCTTCTTTTACAGTGGAGTTGTGTCCTGTAAATACAAATTGTCAGTTCATTCTTGGTTTTTTGTTTCCAAAAACTTTAAATGTTGTTTCCAAAATTGCATTTTTGAACTTCTCAATCTTCAACCCTTCCCACTTCACTAATACTGTATATCTCGGCCTATAAGACGGAATTTGAATCTTAAAAAAAATCAGCCCAAAATTAGGGGCCGTCTTAAATACCAGGTATAAAATTCTAGTTCTTACATATTGTGGTTTAGCGTGTCAAGAGTGGTGATGGAGAACATCGGAGAAGCCTGCAGCTGTAATACTCTGCGCAACTTCTCTGGCAAGGTCCACTGCTACTGCAACAGTCTGAACCTCACCAGTCACAGATTTACTCTGCCTAACACCCGGAATGCCTTGCAACACTTGTCTCCATGCGTGACGAACAGTTGCTACAGACAGCTGATTCCATGCCTCCACCAAGAAGTCCACAGCTTTCTTGACGTTGAATGTTCTCCAGAATTGTTTTAAAAGTACTTCTTGCTCTGCCAACTGTTGATTCTCGTCGTCTTCGCTCTTGCTATCGGTGTTGGTGTCACTCAGGTTACGCAACTTTTCCTTGGTGTTGGTGTAGTCATTCAGGAGGTTGAATTTTTTAGCAGAGAATGCAGCTTTTACATTACAGATCAACTCTTGGTCCATGGGCTGTAATATAGACGTAGTGTTGGGAGGAAGGAAGACCACTTTTGCGTTGGGGTGACGATCTAACAGTAGGGGCGAGTGTCCTGGTGCGTTGTCCAGCAGCAACAAAATCTTGAATGGCACATTCTGTTGCTCACAGAATTCTTCACATCGGGAACGAAACAGTCATCAAACCAGGAGAGAGAGAGTGTAGAGAACATCCACGCCTTACGTGCGGTCAGCCAGTGGACATTTAGCTTGGTCATGTCCATGCTCTTGTGGGCATGCGGCTTGCGTGCTGTGTGGATCACCGATAACTTGAGCTTACAGGTACCGGAGGCATTGGTGGTAAACAGGACGGTGATGCGCTCCTTCTGCAACTTCCGGCCCCGACACTTGCTGGCATTCTGCACAACGAAGGTCTTGGAAGGTAACTTTTTCCAAAAAAGACCAGATTCGTCCATGTTAAACACCTGGTCGTCGGTGTACTGTCCTTCCTCCATAATCTCATGTAAAAACGGAGGAAATTCCCTAGCCGCAACACGGTCAGCACTAGCTTCTTCACCACCAATGTTGATATTGGTGATCTTGTTTCTCTTCTTAAACCTCTGTAACCACCCAGAGGAAGCATTAAAGGGTTTGGGCTCTGTAATTCCCATCTTTAGTGATACTGCAGCATACAGTTCACGCGCGTACTCCTTAACTGAGCGCGTGTCCACCGCCATGTTCCGTCGCGCCTGACGCACCAAGTAGGTCACAAGTAATTTTTCTGTCTTGAGAAGCACCTGGTTGTGGCAATACTTGATCATAGAAGCACCTGTAGACTTTGTGATGTTCATGTGCTCCTTTATCTTGGCTGCATCCTTCTTAATTCTCCTGATCGTAGACCCGTTAACACCATGCTTGCGTGCGAGATCAACCTGTCTTGTTCCTTTCCCCAACTCTTGTATGATCTTATATTTAATTTCGTAGCTTAAGGAACTTCGTGTCTTCTTTGGCTTAGGGCAGCTGGGTCCAGGTAATGCAAGGTTTCTTTGTGGTGGTGGTGGTGGTCCGGTGGAAGCCATTCTTATGGAACAATGGATACCGATATACACGGTGTAGCCTGGAGGGGTGTAACTGACGCGGTAGGTCGAGGGGCACGTCATTAAACCAATCACAGCTAGCAGGGAGGGAGGTAAGGATGCTTTGCCCAATCACAGTCCGCTACGTCATATGACGTCACCGATAACGCAACAAAGACATACACTGCGCAACCTACTCGCGCCTCTTACACAACATGGCGGATGGCGGGAGAGGGCGGGAGAGATGGCGGGAGGTTTGGATCCAAAAATGGTGCGGCGCGAGAGGACTGCCAGCCGCTCTCCGCGTAAAGGGGTACACGCACCGCGGAAAGTGAGCATTCCGGTTTCGGCAGGAAACCGCGTAAACGTGGAAACACGTAAAGTGGGACCGCGTAAAGTGAGGGTTGACTGTATTATAATTAAATAAATAAACAAATAAATCGGTAAATCCATTTCAAGTACCTGTAAATGGAAAAATTTTACTCAACACCGACATTAGTTCCAGTTAAATAACAGACGCTTAAGTGACGTCACTAGTGTTTACACTACACCAACCGGGAACATTTGATGCCATTACTTGAAGTGAATTGGTCTTATTTTAAAAAACCAATGATGTGTAAACAGCACTGGTCAATGGGATGGTTGGTAAAGGACTACTGGGTCAGTAAGCTCCCAATGGTAAGTGTCACATTTGGGGTACCGGTCTTATACAGCGAATAGGGCTCAAAACCTACTTTTTAAATGGAAATTTTTGGGGTCGTCTTATACACCCCGTCACCTTGTAGGCCGAGATATACGGTATTAATAGGTATCCACTTTTTGTTGTCCTTTTAAGTTTATCAGTCATGTTCACTTTTCACAGCTCACCAACTTTTACAGTCTCCTTAATTTCTTGATTATGTTACAACTAGAGCCTCCCATTCACTATTACTTTTATTACTGCAAAATATTCTATGTGTATCTCCTCTCAGCACATCTATTTCGTTCATATTATTTTTCAGTCTCTTCTCTCCTAGTACATAGTCTGTCTTCTCTCTTGTCTTGTCTCCATGTATATTTGAGAACTTTTCTTATGTATTGTATGACATTTCCATTATCAGTCCTCTCTCAGCATGTACAGTACAGTATTTCTATCTGTCTGTCTTCATTTCCATCCTTGCATGCCATGTTTACCTAAATTCCACTGCATCCATTTTTCTTATCATACTTTTCATTCCCAGGTGCAAAAGGAGTCACAGTAACTATAAAATCCCATTCCTGACTTTGAAGCTAATCCATAATATTTTCGTAATACTGTACAGTACAGGGTAATTCTTTTTATTCCATCATTAACTCCCCTCTTCATCACTTAACAATAGTTGCACTTTCTGTAAAATTTTCCTGTTCAAACACTTCACATATTCTCAGCACATCTCTCCTTAATCCTTCATCGTATACAAAACTCACTTCACTCACTTCTTTCATATCTTGCTTGCCCCTATACACATTTACATTTCAGCCTGCTTTTTTTAATTAAAATACAGAAAATAGGGTTACTATCTGCACACACCTGCAGTTGATTGCACAATTTGGCACCTTAATACTGTACTGTAGTTGTATTTAAATATTGCAGATACTGGAAGTAAAGGAGGTGGAGGTATGGATGATCTCATTAATCAAATTAAGCGAGGTGGAGTCAAGCTTAAATCAACAAAACCATTTGTCATTGGATGTATTAATAAGAAAACAGATCCTGATGTGAAAGAGAAGCCAGCAGATGCTGTACAGGAGATGAAGAGCATTTTAGCAACTATGAAACGTGGACGCCAGGGTAGGTTAAGGCCTTCTGCAATTTCTCAAGAGTCAAAATCCCGAACTACAAAGTCAAAGAAGAAGGAAAAGAGAGAATCTACATCATCCAACCCAAAAGCTGATGATGAGGAAAAAAGAGAAATTGATGTTGATGATTCCAACAGTACAACACATGAACTCTCCCCAGCTCCTCAAACAAAGGAAAATTCTCCTATAATTGATACAGTGTCTGTGGAAGATTCCATTACATGTACTTCCAAAGATCAGAATATTGATTTGGCTGAAGGCACAAAAACAGAAGATATTATAACACTCGACAACAACAAACCAGCTCAAGAAACTACTACTGTGGAAAACAACATAAGAGGAAAGGATTCTACAGCATGTGAGGACAATGCTACAACTGCTAGTGCATCTTACACTTTAAAGCTGAATAATCCCTATGTTGGGGCAGATGAATGTTCCAGCCGTGAAACTACCCCACCTGCTAGCACTACTGAAAAATCAGAGGAATGGGAAAATAATCGTCCATCTCCAGGACGAGCCATTTCATCAACTACCATATTTCTGAGGAATAGTAGAAGTCCATCCCAAGACTGATGAAGTACTGGTATTAGCCTATAAAAATGTAAATTTAAAACAAGGCTGAAAATGCAGCTTAGGATTCTGATCATTAAAATAATTTTCTCACTGTCATTATTTCTATAGTGACATGCAAAAATTAACCTGATGCTTCTCGTTATTTTAGTTAGAGGTGCTTTGTATATGATTACAGGTATATATTCAGTTTTGTCAAAATGTTTTAGAATGAATTTAGGGAGTACAATACATGTGGAATATCATTGTTATTCAGGAGCAGATGGTGTTTATATAATTTTCCCAAACAAGACACATATGTTCTTTATAATTGGAACATGTTACAAATATTGATTCTGAATTTCTAGTAGACATGCTGTACTGAACACTATCTAATATGAAACATATATTTGACTTATATAAATTCATATAAAAATTTTTAAGTTTGTACAGTATATATTGATCATGAGTGAGTACAGTACAGTACAGTACAGTACAGTACATGCATTACTCATGGAACTGCATTTTTCCTTGTGAGAAGGGTTTGCTTGTTAGGACTTTGGGTAAAATACTAAAATTTTCTGTGGCTTAACATATAAGAATAATGCAATGTTAAATATGCCTGGTAACCAAGATGAAACTTAGGCACTCCAGATGTTGATTCTCCAAGTTTTTTGTATTATACAGGTAGTTTCATCTAACATGGTGTGGCTTCAATCAATGATTTATCTGATTCAAATCATGATATACAGGGAATGTAATAATAATAATAATCATTGATATTCATATCCAATTACTGTATGTATCATACATAATTTAAACAATTTAAAGGATTGTGATATAAAAATATGTTGCTCAACAGAAAAATGCTCTCAGCATTTAGGATCTCTGTATTGAATCCACATTTGCATCTTATAAAAGACTAAGACAACATCTGACTTTATTGTTACTCTACCTCTTAATCCAAGTTTGTTGATATATTGCTTAATCATAGTCTGAAGATTTATTAGAGTATTGTATGAGTTCCAAGTTAGTCTTGTTGATTTTAGAGGTTCCTTGTAAATATTTTAGTGATGATTGTGCCTTGTACATCTACATATCTGCCAGTACTGTATATTGACTTACACCTTCTATGAAGGTTTAATACATTTTAGTGTAAGCAAGAATCTACTGTTAGTAGTCTGTAGTTGGGAATGAGCCCATTGTTGTTAAACAAAATACAGTGAACCCTCACTTTACGAGGTCAATTGAAACCACGGAGGCCCGCATAAAGCGAGAAACGCGTAAAGTGAACAACATAACATATGGGATTGAATGAAATAGAGACCGGCTGACCCCCAAACTCCACTTTTTCGGACACAATACCTATGTTCTAGTAAAAATAACATCTTAATTTTATGATGGTACATGCACACAATTAATACTTAAGAGAAATAGAGAAATACAGTCGCCAAGTTAATGTCCATTCAGATAATGGACTCGACTCCCTCCCCCTCTTCTCACACTCGCTGGCTCTTCCCTCTCTGAGAAATGTTTGGGGGAAAACCACTAGATTTTAAGGTATAGTAATAAATAAGACCTCAAACTAAAGTTAGGATAATATAATTGACATTGCTGGATTCCTTGTAAGACCAGGAATATTTTGAATATAAATGTCATATATTTTGCACAAAAGATAACATATTTACTCAGAGTAAACAAAATACTTAAAGTAGATCTAAAATTTGTATGTCTAATGCAAAATCTATGATGCTTATATTCAAAATGATCATCAAATTGTAAGAATTCCAGCAATGTAAATTATATTCTGGCCGGATAATTTGTATGAATTTTATGAGCTAAATGAAAAAATTATACTTCACCCGCGTATATGAGTAGATGCACCGCGTAAAGTGGGAATTCCGGTTCTGGCAGGGTACTGCGTAAATGTAGAAACGCGTAAAGTGAAACCGCGTAAAGCGAGGGTTCACTGTAATTTTAATAATGTGCAATTAGATAACTTCTTCAGTTCACTACACTTTTTCACTTGTTAAAACTACCAAACTTTCTGGCTGGATATTGAAGCTGGGTCACCGGTAGGCTCTAAATATTTATAAAGTATGTCACTTGTACATGTCTCCATAGAATAAATTTAATGTAAATTAAGTGTTTGAATACTTTTAAGATATTTGTTTGTGGGGTAGAGGAGTTTCACTTATGCTGAGCCCTTATTTTAAACAGAGTAGCAGTCTTTAAGTTTAGCTGTACAGTATACATATTTTCAAGCCTTACAGGTTGACAATCAACCAGAGAGTGTTGTGATGGCACCGAGTGTGAGCTCTTTCAAGACAAGACTTGACCAACACTGGAGCGGGTTCAGGTACATTCAGGAGCCGGTGCATGCCCAGTATTTGCCAACAGTGCGTGACAAAGACGTGACCGATCACCCAGGCGGCTAACGAGCCGATTTTTTGGTGAAGAAGATAAATGAAAAGAAAAAGTAATCAGAGACATGACCGATCGCCCAAGCGGCAAACAAGCCGATCAGTGGCGAAAAGTAAAAGTAAAAGTATATTCAAAATTCACTTTATAGAGAGGTTGGTTTCAGGAAGTCAGAGAAAATGGGAAAACGGAGGACTTGTAGTGGACCCCATCCCCTACAAGTGACAACTGAGCTCCCGCGCGCCTACCAGCCAATCAGCGTGCAGCCAGTGATGCTGGTAGACCTACTCTCCAGTGCGGACGCACACGTAGCAACGCTAGGACCAGAGTGCCAGGGATTCCTGGCCTCCTCTGTGATTAGCTCTCACGCTACGCGCACCCCAAATCCTGATGTTTCTAAATTGTATAAATACGGGTGTGGCTGGCCAGGGAGACCGGGGCACTTGTGGTAGAAGTGATACTGCTCTTGCCTCGCAAGCAAGATGTCACGGGTTTGATTCCCGGGCAAGCGGAAGTTGTTTGGACATTTCGTAGCCCCCTTGGTCCCTGTTCACCTAGCAGTAAAGTAGGTACCTGTTGTAAATCGAAAGGTTGCGAATTTGTATTCAGGGAAAGTTGTTGGAGCTTCTAAAATTGAACTGACACATTCCAGAGGAGTGGTGACCCGAGGATCACACACCCAACACAGACAAAAAACAAATACGTGCGCTATGCACTAACCAAATAAACGCAGTCGTGTAAAGCCACGGCACTATCTCTCTCACTACAATTCCCTTCCTAACCTCCTGCTCCTTCCTCTGTCATCTTCCCCGCTCTGCCTTTCGCTACCAACAACTTTTTGGAGCATCTAAACTTGAAAAACCAGGGAGACCATTCTACTCTGGCCTACTAGACCAGCACCTCACCACCCAGCTCCCTCAGAAAGCCCTTCGCCCAACAGGACCTCTGAGAAAGCTACTCCTCACCTAGTAACTCCTTAGCACTGCACTGTACAGCAATATATATATATACAGAAAATGCATTGTGAGTTTCTATTCTACCTCATTCCTGAGTGTGAGATATCTACATGTACGTACGTTTGTGTGCCCATACAAAGAGACAATAAACAGCTAAAGAGAATTGACAACTGGCCACATACGGTACGCTACAGACTCAGGCATCTTGAAACGATTAGAAAACGGATGCCTCAGATGGGAGACTCAATAAAGAAGGCATAGCTACATGTTTTGTGGGCTATTGATCGTAATATGAATTGTCTGATTTTACGTTAACTGACGTGTATGACCGTGGTCATTACAGTAGCACATGTTAAATATCACACACTACACGTTAAAGGCAAATTCTGGTGTGTGTGTGTCAGGACCAAGCTGCTGCAGATTTATTAGTTTGTGGGGTTGTCATGATCGTGATGACGGCTAACCTGAAAACCTTAAGGATTCATATTACGCTCAAACATCCACAAAACCTTCCGAGTCCCCCAGTGGAAACGTTCCCCGTTTTCTCTGTCCCTGGGTGACGTCATCGATAGGTCGTCTTTGTTTGTAGGGAACTTTGAATATAATCCGCGGATTTCGTAGCAGACGCTGTATGTTGGGACCTGTTGCCATCCAACCCCTTGTAATCAATTTAATTTTGCTTTTGATAGTTGAGTCAGAGCATTGTTAGTGAGGATAATAGTAGGGAATGAAACTGAGTTCATAGTCTCAGTTTCAACATCAGAGTGTACAGTAAATTAATTCATCGAAATAGAAGTAGGTGGACTCCCTGGCCTATTTTGAGTGAAGGTGCCGCGGGCATTTCTACCATTAGTAAGTGCCCGTCCCTTCACCCATACAGGTAGGCCATTCCACTCTGTGTTGTAATTCGCCCTTCTTTAAGTGATTTGACCCAATTAATAGTTGATTGTGCAAGTGTTACAGTAACGTAGTTGATATGCTCTGAGTGAAGTCATATTTACGTCGTTAACGTCCCATGAAATGTGATGTCGTTGTCACTGTGAGTAAGTGCCCGTCCCTTCATCCATACAGGTCCCTAACGCAGCCTAGGCCGTGTCTGTAGAGTGGATGTTGTATCCACTGTGTCTGGGGAGATGTCCGAGGTCCAGTAGGATCAGTTACCTTCGTGAGACCCGGCTGTCAGACACTTCAGACTACCTATGGCCCCCATAACTGGCTCGTCTGGCCCTAACGCTTGGCCTGCGAGGTGACCCCGGATCACCAAGCCACACACCACTACCAGCCCCCATCATTGGTGGATGAGTGTCTAACTCAGTAGGGCTATTTGTGTGGTGGGATTAATCCACTGGGATCTTCAGAGTTCGTCGGAAAGTACCCCATGGTGGCTGGACCCCATGGCTGTTGCTTGAGTATCACTCCTGACGACTGAGTGTTGTAGTGGCAGTTGCCCTGGTCTTTATGGTGCTAAGTGACTATAAGAGTTATGTGTTATTGAGTATGTCCACCCAGTAGGGTTGGGAGTGTTATTGAGTATGTCCACCCAGTAATGGTGTGAGTATGTTGAGCCTGAGGGCCTAGTACTAGATTTCGTCTGTTGGTACATAAAAATTCTTCCTCCTAATTTCATATTAATGTTTAAGTAAATTTTGTATTTGTATATTGTGTCTATTATTTACCTACAGTATTCACCGTTATTTCTTCCCTATTACTTGTTACTATCATTACATCTACCCACGAGCCTCCTCTCGTCACGCTACCAATGGTAATAAGTATGAGAGTAAAAGGAATTGTTACTGACACACAGTCCCTTATAAAATGATGGCAGCTCAGGCCCTCATAAAATGGTGGCAGCTCTGGCCCTCATAGGGTACGTGATGTTGGTTCACACTCAGGATGGGATGGAGAAAGGAAACTAACAATGTGCTCTCTGTATACATGTTGTATTGGATGTACAATGCAGCTTGGTGCTGGGAAGTGGCAGCGTGGTTATAAGCGTGATGTAGAGAGAGCTGGTTGGTGAGGATGCTCAGAGGAGGACCAGCTTGTGGGTCACCATGCTCGCCGGCGGGAGTGAGGACCGCCAGGCAGGAGGAGGAGTAGGATGTGTTGCTTGCTGATTGGTGTAGGTAGAAGAAGAGTGGTCACCACGAGGTCAGGTTTTATATAGCGGAGGTAGGCGTGGCTTAATAGTTGACCTCCGTCATGCAAGGTGGCGCTGGTTGACCTAGACCACGAGGCATACACTGGGGACATTGCGGGGATGGCTACTCAGCGACAAACAGCGTTTGTAGGGGAGGTATCCACTACAGTACTCCCCCCTTCCCTCCAGGCGGTGTAGGAGACTTGTTGTCTGCAGGGTTGCATGGCACATGTGAGGCAGAATGGGCGGTGCATGCCACTTGTGAGCCATAACGGCGAGGGCGTGGATGAGCCGGCCGCTAGAGGAGACAACTGTCTAGATACACAATATCTGTGGGAGTAGAGAGGGAGAAAAAGGGTGTGTGGAGGCGATGAATGTTGTGCTTCCCTCACGGCAGGTACAGAGTGGTCAGAT